TTGAGGAATGAATTGAGACAACTAAAGGATCTACCAAAAGAAATTCTTAGTTGTTCACCTGTCGATGGAACTGAAAGTTTGAAACAATGGGAAGCAAAAATACGAGGACCGATTGATACACCATATGAAAATGGTATATTTAGACTCGATTTAGATTTATCAATCATACCTGACAGTCATGGAAAGATATTTCCAATCACACCACCAATTATTAAATTCAAGACAAAAATATTTCATCCAAATATAAGTTCAAAAGGAGAAATATGTTTGGATATTCTTCGAGATCAATGGTGTCCAGCATTATCTTTATCAAAAGTTTTACTATGTATTGTTTCATTATTATCAGATCCAAATATTGATGATTTTCTTGTACCAGAGGCTGCTTATTTATACAAAGAAAATCGACAAGAATATAATAGAAAAGCAAGAGAATGGACCAAAAACTACGCTATGGAATCCTATGATTCTGCCGGAATACAACAGAATTCAAACGAAGTAAGTTCAGTATACTATTCTTAGAATTAGGAATGCTATTTAAGACTATTTTATCTATACTACTCTGTATATTTATTTTTTTCAACTGATTTCAAGTTAAATGATCTTACTAATACAGTTACAATAATGAACATAACATCATCATTATCAGATCATATTGTGCAACAAGATGTCGTCACTAATCAATCGAATGCTAGACGTCGACCTGCTCGATTCAATATTATTGAACCATTGCAAGCAAAAACATTTGATAATGGAGAATCAAAAGAACATCTTCCAATTGTTGCAGAGTGTCTCTACTCTAGGAATGATCATCAAGATAGACACAGGTAATGTCTGCACTATGAAACTCAGATTATTCAGATTTTTTCTTGTTCTTTCTCGACTGAACAACTTAAGTTTTTGTAGATATCAGATGAATGAGTTTGATGAAGTTATAGAGAAGCTTGATATTGACAATGAACTTCAGTCATTGGCTATGGCATTAGAAAGAGAAGGTCTTAAACTTGGAAAACGAACAGAAGCTAAAATTTTAATCAATGACTTACATATATTAAGAGGTACAACACCTGATAAAATGGGTCAAGGATGTTTACGTCTATATTCAATGCAAACATTTCTTTATCCAGAACTTAATCAATTTTTACGTGAAGGAGATCGTACAAAAATTGAAACATACAAACCATTTGTTCGTCTTTTATGTTATTATTTTAATCATTCATCATCAATTGAAGTTCATAGTATTGAAGTTTATCGTGGAATGAATTTATCATTATCGATGATCAATGCTTATAGAAAAGCTACAGAAAGTGGTACATCATTTCGATGGGCTGGTTTTAGTTCAACAAGTAAAAATCGAGAATTTGCTGAAGATTTTAATACGAATACTCTTTTCATTATGCAGCTAAAAAAGATCTATTCAAAAGAAAAGAAAGCTATTGATATTAGTATTTATTCACAATTTCCAGAAGAAGAAGAAGTATTATTAAAAGCTGGTGTTGAATTCACAGTTGAAAAAGTTAAATATGATGATAGAAAGAAAAAACATTATATTTATCTTAATGTTTATGTTTAACAATCTTCATATAAATTTGAAACAGACAGTTGTATTTCTCACGTTTCTTGTATTTTAGTATACATTGTATCTTGCTTATGAAGATTAATAAAAAGGTTTTAAGCATCCCGTTGACACTAATAAAACATAATCTAATTTAATGATCAAATGATTTTTCTTCAACTGCTGAATAGTTTGACGTTGTATAAACATGGTATTGTTAACGTCATTAGAACTCGAACAGCGCCTCTTACGTAGTAGGCTATAATAACAACGCTTTGTAGAGCAACTGAGTTAAGCAACCAATCAATACTTCTCACCATTTTCAATGCATGAGGAAAAAAAGCAAGTAATGATAACTGTGATGAGAACTTGCAATGATATAAAAGCTATAAAATTGTATAACATGTTCTGGATATTTCACATGATGTTTGTGTTGTAAGTGTTCAAATAATTTAGTAAAATCCTACAAAGATTAGCATATATTAGTTGGGAAAACTGAAAAATAACGAGTCGTACATCTGACGAGTGGACTTATTGAAGACAATAAGCATTAGATGATCTTCTCTCTTTCATGAACACACTTAACTATACTGACTTTTTCACTGAAAGAACATTAGATCAGTTTTTGAAACATCCAACACTCAAGAAAGAAATGTTGCAAAAGTTTTGAGAACTAAAATCCATCACTACTGCCTACTAGCGCAAAAACTATCTTGAAAATCAAGCCCTGCAGGACATGAACAATCTGTTCTTCTTTAACGAAGCAGGTTTCTTTGATCATAATCTGGCAAATTTTGACAGAAATGATACTATGATTCTAAAATTACGAGCAGATATTTGAATCAAAATAGATCATTTACGAATGTTTTCAATATGTATTACCTTTGCTCAAATTAATTTTTATTTGTAAAGTCAGCTTGTGCCAGTGTATTGTACTTATCATGAATCTACGGAAAAGAAAGCAGCCATAACTATTCAATAATCCTTATGTTCATGACGACCCTTATGCTTCTATTAAGGAGATTTTTAGATTAAAATAGGACAAAAATAATATTAAAAATGACAAATGACTGATATAATAGATTAATACCTATTCCTATCAGAGCTGGATAATCTACACAAAAAGTGACCAGTTCTATTCAATACAATTCATTGGAACAAAATTTCAACTCAATTTGATTCTATCCATACATAATATAAATTATTTCCTAATCCAACTCGATTCATGATCGGTTGAATTGAGTTGAATTAGTCGTTTTCTGGATTCAGTTGTTCAACTCTGGTTCGCACTATTCCTGTCTCAAAAAACTGATCAGTTTCGATAAAATATAGCATACACTTATTAAAAAAGTAAAAGGAGCAAATTGTGTGATCGAAGGTGTGGGTGTGGATGTGGATGTGCCATCTCTTGAGCGACACTTACACCCACACCCTCCTTTATTTATGTCAAGAGACAGAAAAATAATATAATCGAAATTGAATGTCTTTATTTAAACTGTTCAGTAAAATAAGGTGGATACTCATAAATATGAGAAAATGAAAAGAAGATGAATACCAGAAGGATAAAATTTAGCCGGAATACTGTAAAGCCTAGACGCTGATAAACACATCATCTAGAGTGTCACATCAATCCATATGATTGTGTCAACATATTGATTTTCATATTTTGACTTTGAATTAGGAGCCAATTCCAGGGCATACTGATGGAGTAGTTCTTGTCTTTCTTGTTTCGTTAAATTGGCTTCTCTTGGATCATCCTGAGCCCATTGAGCCAATGCTAATGTTTGAAATTCACTGATATCCTGCACATCATCGAGATCCAAACCAATATATAAATAATCTTGTCTTTTTAATGGTCTTATTCTGCTTGATAGACGTTGATTGATTGTCGACTGTCCATCAACGATCATATCACTAAATAGATTTCCAGTGACCATTGGATTAATAGAAAATTGAATATTTCGTGTTTTTTCAAACAGAGCTAATGGACCCGTTGTCCAATCAAGTGGTTGCCAGACTGAAGATTCCGAGGAGATATTTGACGCCCACATAGCAACATTATATGAAGGTTGAATGAGTATGGTGCAGTTTTGAGAATCAAGATACGACAAAATATCCAAGAAAAAAGCATCCAAACAGATGGCGATACATAAATTATTGGGTTCAATGACACGATTCTCTTCGAGTTTTCCTGGTGTCAGTTGTAATAATTCAGTCTCTTCTGAAGTTAAATGATATTTATCCCGACTGGCAATTAGACTACCATTTGGCGCATAAACATGAACCGTATTATAAATATCTTTTGTTAATGGTAGATAGACTTCGGTTTGATTCGGATAAAGATCAGGATCACCATAGAATTGAATATCTTCTGGATCGGTAGATTTAATAATTCTCGGACCAAATGTACCTGAAACAATCGTCGCATTGAGTAATTGAGCTAACGATGAAAATGTTTCATTGAATGCCCTCCACATGACGTCACTCAATGATAATTCGAGTGCATTTGTGAGTGAAATACTCGGATATTTATTCAAATAAGATGTTATCTGTCTCTCATAGGATATTCCTAACAAAGAAAAGGCATTTTCAGTTGTGCCTGATTGCGTACGAGCAGCTTGGCCACGTGTTCCGATAAAGGCAGAAGTGAAACCTGTTAATTCACCAAAAACCAAGAGAGTTTCTTCATGTGATTGTAATTGATAGAAATCAGTACGATTGAACTGGTTAAACCATGTGCTATAGTTCTCAGATGCTTCAATTGATTGACGGTGACCAACAGCAATTAGGCGAATTAAATCGACTTTCAACGGTAGCAGCCAGAAACAAAGAAAACATATGTTGACTAAAGTCTTCATCTTTCACATACGCGGACAACGCACTTTTTTTTTTTGATTCTTCCAAAAAGTGACAACACGCACCTTTTGTTGATATCAAAACAAAAGATGTCCACCCACCTTCTTTACTAGGCTCTTCTTTTTTTGAAAAGAACACGAGACTGAAAATATAATGCATACGAGAAAAATCGTTACAACACGTCGAAAAAAAAATGGTATTTATAATTGTACTTGTGTATGCTACTATTGTTCATTGCAAAACCGGTTAAAAATGTGAAATATATTCTAGACATTTACGGTTCTGACTTGAATCCAATTTTAAAGAAAATAATTTGCAATAATATAGATTTTCAATCTATTTTTTACACCTATATCTACGTCCTTCATTGTCTAATATTTTCAATTTGTAAAATTTGACTTATTTGAATACTTAGAATTGTCAAACAGATATTGACTTACATGTTTACTATACTTTTTGTTCTTCTGCTGATATATAATACGACAAGAAATTCACACTAGACTAGCGAGGGTACATATACAACAGTCAGACACCGTTCGACCTATATTTTGGCTACAAGTAGGACTCAGTGCAATTAAGAAAATCCTAAAAAGATTCGGACTCATGTATTACCTAGCCAGAGTTATGACCCTTTTAGTGGGTTTTCGGCCTCTGAACCAGCTATTCACGGAAAACTCAATTGCGAAATTTTGTCCATAGACAGGTCTCACGGCCACCAGAATATCCGAAAATTTTCAGCTCAAATGAATGTATTCTTCTTGAGATATCGAGTGTCTAAGGTAACTTGATTCTATGACTACGCCATATGAATTTTTTAAGATTTCACCAAAATATGATTCTATTTCGAACTTCTTTTTCTTCTTCCGAAAATGATTCTAACCTGGTAAAAAAAAGCAGTCTATTCAGCACACTTAACCTAGAACAGCTGATTAAATCCATGTCTAAATTCTTATTGGTATGTCTAATTCGTTTTCTCTTTTTTTTTCGAATCCTTTATTTCTGTATTCATAACTATATATTTGTCTAAACGGTTATATCTATGTATAATGCCATGAATCTATATCTGAATTCACATATCTGATCTGATGTATATGTCTATCGTTCTATTTGTATATCTATATTTACATCTATGCTCGTATTGATAAATGACGCGAAAAAAAAAATATTTTACTAATTTAGATCTGCTTGCTGGACAAGCCTTCTATCATACAAAAAAGGTTTACGTATTTTTGTATATTAATGAACTCAAACAATCAACGTCACAAAAGCTATAGGAAACCCATGATTAAAACAATTCACGAAATTCGAGCATAGAGTTTAGCGAAAAATTTATAATGGCAATATATTCAATGCTTTTCATATAGATATCTTTCTTATGAAGAGTCAGAAAGAAGAATATCATAGTCTGAAGGTATAGTCAAGGTCCGTAAAACCTCAGAGAATTTGTTGTGCATCTTTTTTTTTTCATTGTAATTCAAGCGACGTGCGCTGAGAGGCTTATATTTGTAGGTACTTTACATTAAAAGAAGCAATGATCGAATCTAAACAATTAATCGGCGATAGAAAAACTATACATAATATAAAACATCGAATTATTGATGCAATCAGTTAGTTTCTTCTGGTTCTCTCCTAAGAAACACCATTAGTTTCGGTGACGTTTTCATGCACAATAGTAACTATCAGGAGAAGTATACAAAAGCAAATGATTATTTATTTCTTTCTACTCACAATCTCATTGATTTGAATCATTCATATAGAAATGTGTTCGTTCTTGGTTCCTCAAAGTTTAAAAATTTTGACGATATTCATAATTTCTTCAATGACTATTCATGGCTAAAATCCGTGAGAAATTGATAATTCAAAATTAATTCTTCCGACTCATCATAATTTTTATTCCGTTCAACTTCATATGGGTTTTTGACTATGGTTATAAAACATCCGATAAATCAATACGAACGATTGTTATTATCACATATAGCACGTTTAGAGATCAATAATATTTAGTTAGAATCAGAAAGCGGTGACTGTTAGACTTGTATACGATTATACATTTTTCCAATGGTCGATATTATTTTCGTGTTAAACTAAATAGCTGAAAGAATGTATGTTGAATGAATCATTGGATGTGTTCTATGTAGAAAGAAAAGAAAAACGATCAGATAATCACATGATCACCATGTTTGTTAAAGAAAATAAAATATCTCGCACTAAACATTAAAACTACGAAGTAACTGATATATCATATCCTTTCTTTCGTTTCATCTAAACTATGATTATGACTTGTATTGAAAATTTATCTAATGAAATTTTTCATGAAATATTCGATTATCTCGATGGTTGTGATATATATAAAGCATTTTCAAATCTTAATCATCGTTTAGAAGAATTTCTTCATTGTTCATCTCTTCGATTCAAGATTAAACTCAATTCTTCATCTAGTAAAATATTTATGAATTATTCTAAACAAGTTAAACTTATGAATAAACATCAAATTTTATCACTTGATCTACGGTCAGGATTATATATCGATGAATTTCTTTCAATATTTATTATTGATTCATCATTTGATTATCTTGAATCAATCACTCTTCATTTTATGGAAGAATATTTCCTTCTATTACTTCTTCGTCATTTTATTTGTTTACCTCGTCTTTTATCATTAAATGTTCATGCAGATGAAACTTTGACTGATTTAAGTGACGTCTATCAATTGGGTTTTGCTTTACCTACATTAAAATATTTTAAAATAAAGTCAGAAGATTGGATAGTATCGTTGCCGTTTGCTACAACGAACCAACAGTTTAGTACTGTAAAATATCTTGTTATTGATCATTATTGTACATTTGATCAACTTGCTACTATACTTTCTTACACACCTGAACTTTGCCATTTGTATTTTGAACATCAACCAGATCGTGATTCAAATGTCGAAATAATATTACCAATAACATTATCAAATTTAACACGTATTTCTTTAAAAATCATTCGTTCAGATTATGATGAAGTTATAAAATTTCTTAAGAAAATATCTTCGAAATTAAAATTTCTTCGTCTTACTATTCAATCCAATGATGTTATTTATCTTATATCTCATCTTTGGGAAGGATTAATTTTACAATATTTTCCAAATCTAGAGAAATTTTATCTAAAACATTTTGAATCTATTGATTATGATAATAGATCTGGAAATTATCTTTGGCAAGGTAATCAATTTACATCATCATTTTGGATTGAACGGCAATGGATTTTTCATGCTGAAATTTATATTGATGAAATTATTTATTCAATTTATCCATACAAGTATAATCATAATAAAAAAAATCTTTTCTACTAAATAAATTCTTTTTCCTTTTTTTTGGTAGAATAACTTGGTATGACTCTGCAGAAAGTGAAATAAATTCCATGCATTCAATAGAACAAAAACCTACATATACTTCTTCTATACTGACGATTAATAATAGACATTTATCTGGATATCTCCAATTATTATATGAAAATATCATTTGGATGACAACTGTAACAACGATATATCATTTACAGTTTTGTCAACAACGAATTCCTATTCATACATTAATCAAAATCATCAATTTTTTATCAAATCTCGATTCATTAAAAGTATGGTCTTTATCGTTATCAAAACCAAAACGCTTATCTTTGAAAAAAATACAATTAATTAATAATGTAACAAAGAAAAACAAAATTACAAAAGTTTATCTAGAAAATATGATAAAAATCGAAGAAAGTTTTGTTTTAATTGGTTTATTTCCTCGTATGAAGTATCTTCAAATTGGTTGGAAAAATAATATTGATATTACATCATTTGTAAGAATTATTTTAATGAATATTCTTAATAAATCCAATCATGAATTTCGTTCATTATGTTTCTGTCCTTCAATGGCAGATGATAATATGGTGAAAAAACTTCAAAACATGATTGACTTTGATAAACTAATTTTTGATTATAAAATAAAACGTATATGTGATTTGATCTATTTGAAATGGAAATAAAATGTTTTTTTTTTGCTACTTATTTTAAATAAACTAAGATGTTGTTTTTTCAATGATAACCGATAGATCACTCGAAAAATCCTTAGTTGGATTCTTTTTTAAACAACCTCGAAGACTCCGTATTTTCTCATGATGCATGATTTATATTCTCTTCTTCTCTTGATAAAGACCCATCTGTAAATGTTCTCATCGTACGAATTAACTCATGATTCTGGTACACTAGTGTAATCCAAATTATGTTTCTTGCCGTTAGTTTTAATTTTGAATGATTATCTTTTGTTCTTACATTCATTTTATTTGTTCAATTACAGAACACCTATTATATGTAGAGTCAATAACACGCGTTCTATCACCTAACAGTCTTATTTTGTACTTAACATCATGTATATGTGTCAGGCAAAATTAAACAAAATATAAAAGTACTTTATCGTTAAATCAACCTAATATTGAAATTTAATTGACTTCACAAAGTTGTAGAATTTGCTAGTCTGCCCAACAAAAAATTTGAATAAATTTTAGGAAGTTATAGAGTTCGCCAGTCTATCCTATTGAAAGCTCAATAAGTTTAGGAAGATGTAGAGTTTGCCAGTGTTCCTAATTGAGATTTAACGGAATCTAGATTGTTGTAGAGTTCACTTGTGTACTATATTAAAATGTAATTGCCTCGACCAACAAAAGAATCATTAAACTTATATTAACTTGAGTATTGCTTTTGCTAGATTTTTATTTATTTCTAAAATGTAACATGATTCATAGACGATATGCATCGGCCAAAAAAAAAAAGAGAAGGTGGATCTTGTCTGAAGTATAGATTTAACATTATGTTTAACGAAAGACACTCATCCGATCAAAAAAGGAGAAGAAAAAGATCTCAAAGGTTAAGATTAATGTGTTTATTATTGTTTGGATTTTTTTTCAAATTTATTGTTCTCACGTTCTACGGGTGAATTAGGTTTATTCTGCATGTTAATTTTTTGCCAAAAAAAACCAGTTTTTCATAGAAAACTACCTATACAGGTGCCTTAAATTTCCATCATTGTTCGAAACCTATTAAATTAACACATATTTTTTGGGTCGTAGTTAGTTTTCACACTGTCGTCAGATGAAGTAACAAATCGAAGTACTAATTCAAGATCTGTTCCAGGAAAGTGGTATGAACCTGAGGGAATCACCATATTCATGATAATGAATTTATTGACTGGCTTGTTTATGAAAATACTTTCGAATATCGTTTTATGATGTCGACACACAAGAAGTGATTGTTACATAAATCACAGTCTGATGTGAGTAGATGAAAAGGAATCATCTGTCTATTCAATGAAAAAATTTGCGTGCTGTCTTTTCAATTACAGTGACGAATTATAATTGGTCCTTAAATCTGAGAAATCATTTCGTCGTTTTGCGCCTAATAAAGAGTGTGGATGTGGGTTAATGAAATACTGAAGAGTACACCCACGCCCACACCCGATTTATTTCACAATTTTTAGCAAAATAATAAGAATTAACTAAAGCAAAGTCTTTCAAAAGCTTTCGTCTATAAATGATCGTGCGTACAGTAGTATTGATACATTCACTACTAAATTGCCTTCTTTATACGTTTTAACATGAATGACGGCTGAAAGTCTAGGCTCAATCAAAAAGATTGGTCTTTAGAAATAAAATAAATAGAATAATGTTTATTAGTCAATATAGAAAAAAGAGTTAGGGCCATATGGCATTGCTTCCTACCCAATTGTCAACACCGCTGACGTCATCTATCAGTTTTTCCAACTGTCGGAGATTGTCAGGTGCACCGTGATAGTCTTCCACACTCTTTTCATAACTGTTGATACGAATACGGACATAGATTGTTGGCAGATCGGTTGCTTGCGTCATAGATTCCTGAATTCTTCCGTTTGGCTCGACCCAAATGTATCGTGTCGTTCTGTATTGATCTTTGAGCGAGAAGAAATCAATTTCATAAAATTTGCGAAGTAATTTCACCACATCATCGTTTGGGATTTGCTTTTTCAATTATCCTTTGATTGTGACAAACTCGTGTCCCTCGTAGATCATCGATCCATTACCCTGAATAATCAGTGAGTAAGCAGGACATCTGAAAAAACAATTAGTACGTTCTAATGAGAGCGTAACATTTTCCAAGAAATATTCTTTTGGTGGATGTGTTAGTTTTAGTTGATACCATCGACAATAACGAAAGTAATTGTCAGAAGAATATAGAACAATTTCATTTTTGTGTTGGTGATGCAATGAAGTATGTATTAGAAAATTTGGAATAAAGAACAGCCAATATTGCTGATATTTTTCTGTGTATAATGTGATCTTTTGTTGATGTGATTTTTAAAATGATCCCAACCTTACCTTTTTATCATAATTCAGAATGTAATCCGTAAAGAAAACACTGCTGCATATGTAAATCGTGCCGATTACTCATTGGTAATCTGTTTGTCAATAAAATGCTGATTTGCCGATTCTAATCGTCCGAACATAAGCTCTTTCTTTGTTTGATGCTTACGTGTTTCAAAAATGTTTTTAACATCTATCAGTTTTTAGGGTGTGGGTATTGTTGTTGATTCACACTCACACTCATACGCACACCCACACCCTTCTAATTTCAATTATATCGTATTGATAGAAGTTCTATAGAAAACTCGCATGAGTGAACATAACTTGAAGAGATTTATTTTATTATTATTGTTTCTTATAGTTAGACAAATGATTTATACAAAAAAACGAAGTGCATATTTATAGAAATAAAAGTTGTCTTTTTTTTTTTTACTTAAACGAACCACATCGTATCTTGTATATCGTTATTAAGTATCATCACTTTTGTTTGTATATCTTCAAGTGAGATTTCTTCCGATGGCTTTTCATCATCCTCACTAAAAATAGTAGAAAAAAGAAATTAGATAAATAGTTATTATAATAATTTCTATTTACTTTTCCAGATTTTCATCCTCGCTATGATCGAATTCGTAGGCATTGGAAGCATACGCAGCTAAATGAGCATAATGTACTGGAGCTGGAATTGAAACTGATTTCGAACATCGAACATCTGTATGACAAAGCTATATAAAAATAAAAAACAAATATTTATCATTTTCTATTGATTGAAAATTTTCGACAAAAATAACAACTTCATACCCAATATGTTAATTGTTGAATATCATCACTGCTAAATCCATTTTCATCATGGAGCACATGATAAAGTGCTGGACGTGATGTTCCCATTCTTTTCAATAGAAAAAAAAACATATCGATATTACGATGTAAAAATTCAGAAAACTTACATAGCAGTTTGTGAACATAAGTAAAAATCAAATTGCGATGGGTGTGTTATATGAAGATCAACAACAGTACCCGCTTCAACATTGTCTGTCTTTTGACCATTATAAGTGAAGAAACGTGTATTATGTCGTTTTTTAACAATGATAAATGTTAATCTAGGAAGTGGATGTTGTCCATATACCACTATTTTCAATAGAAGAATATAGGTTTTGTTTGTTCATTGAATAAAAAGAAATGTTTCTTTTTCTATTTACCTCGGCAAGCAGATTTTATTTTATTAACTTCATTATCGAGTACTTTTTGAAATTGTCCATCATCAACACCATCACGATAAAAAATTATTCGATTTGGTAATGTATTACCACATGAACGAGCATATACTCGAAGTAAATCGATGACCATCTTATCCATGTCTTTGATAATCTCAATTGAACAACGATTTTTCTTTGGATATTCTAAAATTATAAAGATAATTCTTGTTTGAAAGAACATTCGACTAAAAATATTTACGTTCACAAAGACGAGCCGCATAACGACTACATGTCGGATCACATGATCCAACAATGGCAGCAATCGATGGTTTTTCTTTTGAAGACGTAGTATGAGTAACCTAGAATAATATTATTTATCGAGAGTGAGTAACTTCGATGAGTTCAAAAATATGAATATTTACATCAGCACCGAAAAACATGAAACGATCATTATGCGATGCTTGACTGAGAGCAGTTTTCAAATTAATGATGCCATTGATACCACCAATTTTTGCATTGAGTTTTTGACTTAAATTTTCTACATCTAAAAAATAAAATTTTCTATCATCAATAAGCCTTATTAGAAAAAATACAAACACATACACATATGAAGTTTTTCTGAATTTCTTTCTATTGCTTGAAAGCTAGCACATTGAGTTATTAAACCAAATTTTTGATTTCCCAAGTGTTTCACATAATCGTAGACAGCTGGTATGGTATCATTCAGTATGACAATCGCTAATTGCCAACCTTGACTTTTAATATTACTGAATGTTTTGTCAATTTCATCTTTACGACTAGGCTTGGCCATTGTCAATGGATTTGAATTGATTCCAATACCGTATCTTCTTAATAACTATTCAAATATGAAATAAAAATATTGTTTCCAATAGTCGATAAAATTCTTAACTCACCAATGGTAACTGTTGCTCGAATTTTTTTAGAATTTCGATTATATCTTCGTTAGGTTGCGGACCAAAATAAATCATTCCCCATTTATTGATAATTGATGTTGATCGAAATTGATTTCCAATTTTCCATTTACCGAATGAAACATGTTCAACAACTTCTTGATTATTTTGTGTTCGATATTTTATTTGAGGTGGTGGTAAAATACGAGCTACATTCATAAAACATAATATAGAATTATTATTAGTTAGGGAATAAAATATTATTTACCGTGAATTTTTAACATGTCTTTAGTATTGACTTGAATATTGAGTGCTTTTAAATAAGAATCAGAATTGAAATTGCGTTTATTTATAATATCCATAATTTGATCGTAGCGTTTATCAGGTTTAATAATAGCTTTTTTCCCTACTAAAGCTTGTTGTACACTATCTAATGGTCTCATGGCACGTTCCCATTCAACAATCTATGAAAAGAAAAGAACGTCTTATTTATACAAGCGTGTTCTTTTTTTCAAAAACATATGTAATTAATTTTAAGACTCTTTCAAATAGAAACTATGATCGTGATCGCAACTAGGTAGAATATCATCATAGGTCGACAAAGGAGAATCTTCGTAGATACTAACAAAATGTTTTCTTTAGATAGATAAAAAAGATGTTAGCGCAATCTCTGCGAAATTGAAATATGAAACGCGATGAAGCTGCTGGTACTGTAAAAGTGGAATTTAATTACTACATGTTTCGATTCTCGCGATCTGTAATAATTAGTTGCTAAGATATCTGTCAAATATACCTGAACAGTTTCCATTGGTAACCACTGAGCTCGTTCTTCTTCACCATTTCTAGCATCAATACATGGCAAATTTGGATATTTCAATGCTTTGTAATTCTTTGCAAAGTATTCCGCAACAGTGATTTGTTTTGGTAGTGATGCACTTCCTGAATCATCCTTGCATCTTAGATCAAATGTGAGTCGATTTGCCGGTAGACCAAAGAGTTTCAATCGATACTGGATTGGACGTCCGGCATGGGTAGTCTTTACTATAAATTTAAAAAAAATTTAGTCTAAAATTAGCCGAAATAGTATTTATCTGTCATACTTAGTATATTTTTAAAAAGCTTTTGCATGCCTTCTAATTCAGCTTCGTTTACTCCACGTGTAATGTCTTGGCGTAAATATTGACAGGCAAAATCAACAAAATTTAGAGGTTGATAGAAACATGTAAATGCCAAATTGACATTGATGGTAGGACCATCACGAGTCAAACAAAGTGCTTGATGAAAGCCACTTGCTAAACCACGTCCATCTCCTACATATAGTTTATTCATGTTTAGATATTAAATTTTAATACTGATTTAAAAGATAACTAACCGAGATCAAGCATTTTTTGACGTCGATCATAATATTTATTACGTATACAAATGTATTGATTATGTACGCTTTGTTTGAACAAAGTTTCTATAATACGTATAGGATCACGTGGTCGTATTGTAGTTTTTCCATGAATAAAATCGAAAATATTTCCGATTTTTTCTTGTCGTACAAGGTTAAGTACTTTGAATTCAAAAGTTTTCTCTTGATTATTAATTGTTAATTTAACTCGACGAGGTCTTGTAAAATCTGTTAGTAATTCTCTGGTATATAAATTTTTACCTTCGTCATACCTAATAAAACAATGAAAATTTTCTATATTCAACCTGAAGAGAACTTACCAAACAATGGGAAAATTTTTTTCATGTCTACTAAGTATTTGAAGTACTTCCCAGCGTTCATTTTTCTTTGCTGGACAAGGTCGTCGTCCATCACGTACCATTGCTATATCGATGTCGTATTGGTTGATTATTGCGTCATCGATGGAAACTGGAAAATGATTCGTATAGATTTCAATATCATTTCCAACAGTGCCCTGAGCGTCAGGACGGCGAATAGGCGTCAAGACAGCGGAATCAGGAACGACTGAGGACACACCATATCGTCGCTTTTTTGGACACTCGGTTTGAGAACGAACATTTTTTTCTGTTTGAGATTCAGTCGATTGTAATGAAAGATTAGCCATGGCGGCTTCAGTTGGTGTTGGAAATTCACTTTGTGAACGTGCAGAAGCAGAACTTGTTATCTGATTTGTTGTCGATGGATTATTTCGTGGAGAATTTGATTCCGAAGATGATTTGGATGTCATATCAGATTTCAAATCAACTCGAGCTAAATAAACAAAACAAAACAAATTAATTGAATGATTAAATGTAGTAGACATCAAACATACATTTTCTTCCTTTTGACATTGTTTTAGTTTTTATGGTTAATAATAATTTTTAAATCAAATGTTTCGTGGGAATATGTAAGAAATAATTTGAGATTATGCTTGTAAAAATTGAATAGATCTGAAAAAATGAAGAAATAAATAATATCATTAACAATTCATAAACAATAAACTGTCACTAAAAAAAAAAACTTTTCATCAAAATAAAGATACCGTAAAGATGGATCAATGAATATCTGTTGTCAGCAGATTTTTTTTTCCTTGAACTTCACCTGCTAAAACAGAAATGTAATGTTGTCGGCAATTGCTGAATAGTCAATTTATTGCTAACGTATAAATACCTTATTCTGGCGAATAGTGGGTAATTTACGAAATTTCCCAATTTGGTATATTTACTAAGAAAAGAGACTGGAGAAATTTTCAGCGAGAGAAAATGAGTCATTCAAACAACTGAAGCACAGAATGAGAGAAACTCACTGATAATTTATTTTTCATTCTGTTGATTCAAGCAAAATTGGAGGAGTATGAGTGAAAACATGCTTGCATTGCAAAGAGGTGGTGTAAAACAAAGTGCAATCACATTACATGTTTTTTATTAAGTCGGCCTCTCATCATGCGGGTTTTTGATATATAAGTCAAAATGAACAATTTATTTAACCAAAGCTATAAGACATCTTAATCTTTTGCTTTCCCAAGTGAACGAAAGACGGATTAAATGACTAGTCCATTTTTCTAGTCATGTCGGACCGTCTTGTCTAGTCTTTCTCTTAAAAAGTCATCGATTAGGACTAGTCCTTTAGTCAAAAGCGACCTGTTCAGCACTATAAATTTGTCAGTCAAGAGGAAAGTGCTTTTCGAAGTAAACTTTAATTTTTTTTATTTGTTCAAAAGGATTTTCTTCTGATTATTATCAGCTAGAAGTAGTTGATTATATTGAAAAAAGTTTTAAATGTCAAACTTGAATTTTATGTTTCGAAATGCTTTTACATTTTTCACATATAAAACTCTAAAAAAATAATGTGTTGTATTAAAATATGGATGCACAGAATATCACGTCTTTCTCTCATATCAGTAATGGCTTTGAAGGACTTTCTAATCATCATCTTAATTAGAAAAGAAATGAATAATACAGGTGAGAGTCTACGTATGTGTTAATAAAAATTTAATAATTGTCATTAATTTTTCGTAATTGTAATATAACAAACCATACTTCTAATATCTGATATCCGTATTCTGAATTTCAACGAAGTAGCAGAATAGTTTAGTCCAAACAAAGTAAGTTACCTGAAATTTTTAGACTAGTGTGGACAAGGATTACCAAAACATTCTCAAAAAAAAGGATCGGTCTTGACGTGCATAGATAACACTTCAGACTAGATCTGACTATCATCACTGAAGACACCTTACACTAGTCAAGTCACTCGTCTCCGACATGTTTGAAATCGCCTAACGGATGAATGTGCGTCATTCTGCTACTTAGACTGTTTAAATTGACGTTAGTCTATCACCAAGTTATAGTCTGCCGTCAGGACACTCGTCAGATATTAAATACCGTCGGGTCAAATGTTCGAATAAACCTTTCGTCTTCCTTTCTTATTATTTTTCTATTCTACAGACTAGTCTGAATGGGGCAGATGAATAAAATGGACTAGACATGACGTGATTCAAAGACTTTCTGGACTAGTCCAGACGTGATTAAAGGGCACTTTTCTTAAAGATGACTAGTCATGACGAGTGTGTAAGACGCTTTAGATTAGACATTACGAGTGTTACGGACATTTCAGACTAGTCATGTCGACCGTCTTCACTTATTTTTTGCTCACTTGGTAATTATCAAGTAAAAGATTCAATTGGATAACTATGGGAAATGACAATAGTTGCTTTTTGAAAATTTGTCTTTCATTCGATTCAGAAAACCATACGTATCATCATGTCGAGTAGTCATACATCAAGGGATTTTTAGTAGTGTGACTTCTAACAACAATACTTTCTTCTAGTGCATAGACTACCAAATTATTTATAGCTAATTAATTTTACAATTTCAGATCGTATCTAAAGATCATGATCAATCGAGTTCATGTCTTGTCAGTAATAAATATAATATGTTTTCTATAAATCAGTTAGACTCATTATGTTATTTGACAGCAGATAATACTACTGTTGTCTCATATGAAATAATAAAGACTTGCTTTTAGAAGCCTTTAATTTGTTTCATTATGTATAAGAAGCTTTTCTTCGAAAAACTTGGTGCTTAGTAAAATACGATTTTTATTTTGAAGCATAGAAATAAATGTATGAAGCTTTAAAATGTTCCATAGTAGCATATTAGGAGATGATTTCATGATATCATGAATAGTTCCACAAATCGCTATATATATATAACATAATCTTTTTCCATTAATATATAGAAGTCAAAGTATTCCAAATAATTTACTGATTCTGCATATTTCATTATTATTTTTTAAATATTCCGTTTCAATTACCGAAAGAAAAACTAAATAATTGTCATCACGAGATATTTATAATTCAATTATTGAAACAAATATATTTTAATTTTGCCACACGAAATAATTGAATCAACAGTAAAATCTTTTTCATGTCTTTAGGGTGTGGGTGTAGGTCAGTGTTACTCTCTTTTCATGCACACATACCTACACCCTCAAAATGGCGGCACATAGACAAGAATTCTTCTAGGTTTTTTCGAGTCTAGGCAGGTCGTACTTAATGAGTGGGATCTCATCTCAAACATGAAGTACTACCTCGGATCGTTTCCTTGTGAGTTGGTCAGTAGAATCATTTCATATAAGATTGATATTACATCAAAAAAAAATATAGAAGATAACGCCTATTATTATCTAGTGATGTAAAATAAATAACAACATGATATAGTTAGTTGTTTTGAAAAATGTTGAAATTTTTAAGTAAATAATGTAACAAAAAGTAACATAAGTGATAATGATAAGTTTTTTTTTAAATTTTATTTTGTTGTTACATCGGCCACTATTTATTTCATTTTGTTTGAAAATAATTTCTCATCATGGTAATGTCTTGGTTAACAATCTTCACTAGTTTTGTTGTTTTATCATCATTAATTATTGCTGATGATCCATGTCGATATCAACATCCTACAAAAGGTGTGCTTGATTTAACTTCATTAGGTCGAACTGATGGAAAACCTGCATATCCTGATAAAATATCATCCACAGGATCTGGCTATAGTATGTTAAATTTGTTTTAGTATTTATTATTTAATGTTTTATTAATTATAGAATATAGTTATAATCCATGTAAACCATTTACCGAAGAACCGAATTGTATAGGAGTAGCTGTTTGTCAAAGTTAGTAATTTCAATGTAATTCATTCTATTTCACTTTGCATTGTATTTAGTTTCTATGGATGGACAACTTACCTTTACTCTTGGTACACAAGATAGTGCAAAATGGAATCCAGGAGATGGTTTAGGTAGTTCGCCTTCAATATCCTATTCAGCTGGTGAAAAAAAGGTCACTGTTATATTACAATGTGCAACTGATGATACCAATGAATTTGAAGCTTTAGGTGAACCTTCAATAAATAATTATAGATTTATTTTAACAAACAAATGTGCTTGTTGGGATGGATGTGGTACGTAAATGAACTCAAAAAGAACTTCTCATTATGCATAAGACGAATAGGGAGCTATTCTTTTGTATTTTACGGATTTTTTTGGAAGAATTAACACCTGAGAGAGAGAAAATTATGAGACATATGATTGTGTCAGTATTTATTTCATGTAAAAAGGCTGTACTACTAAGCAGAAGAACATATAAACCAATCATATGTCCATTGTACTATTAGTAAGACAAAAATGATAGTGTAGAGATTGATAATTTGAGTCAGTCTTTCGATAAAGTATCATTGATAAACTAGAAAAATATTACATTTCCAACATTTTGATCAAGATCAGCCAAAATAAAAAGTATTCTTGTATCATAACATGATCTCATATCTACGATATTTCTATCCACAGATATGATATACTATTCAATTGGGCCTATGTTATAGAATGTAAGGCAAGAAAAAAAAATTGTTACAAGTATATTAGAGACTAGAAAAATAAAATTTTCTTTTTCGCTACGTTATGATCAGACTGGTTTTATTACACTACTGGACAAAAATGCTTCTCCTATTCTTTTTATTCTTTTTGAATTGTTTGGTTTCTGGGATACATTGACTAATATGATGGTTCAGGTATTTTATTTTACTATAGTGTACAGCTCAATTCTATTTATGTCAATGAAGATTGTATATTTTTCAGTAATATCGATTAATATCACGAATAAATCGATCGATAAAATGTTCCATAGCTATACTATATATTTTTGAGGTTGGTTCATTATGTTACAGCATTTGATTTGTCTGATCTGTTCAATCGATCATATACTTTCGAACAGACTTTTAATCGACAACAATTAGAGTTTGATAATCTAAAAAAAGTAAAAGAACTGTTAGATCTTAAAAAGGTATAGCAAAGATATAGAGCCTTCTATTAGCCGATCTATTCGTGATATTTGTCTATAGTATTGAAATATATACATAGTCTTCATTGACGGGAATAGGAATGTCATCATACACTTTGATGAAATAAAGTATCTAAAACATTCTTATAATTAACATTCGCTAGAGACCAAACAATTGAAGAGTAGATTAAAAGAGAGAAGTCAAGATTTCTGTGCAGTAAACAGTTAAATCAGTCTAATAGTGACAGATCGAGATGTGAGATATATTGAATTTCCATCAGATTTTTATCAAAATAGTTGAACATGTAGGACATAAATCAGATACGAAGTGATATAAATCATGATGTATTTTGGATGTTTTCACATTTTCCTAGAGTTTTGTCAATCTCTTTTGCATACAAAGGTACTTCTAAAAACATTTCATTTTCTTCGTCCAAATGAATAATTTTTCTGTTGTGCCTGAGTACAAAGTTCGACTGTTAAAGTCAGAAGACGCTACGTGAAAAAGATTTCTAAAAACGTAATAGTCAAAAATCATTTTTGTGGACAATATAATTTTTAAACAAACTACGCTTATATGATAAAAGCACCGAACGCTTTCTCTCAGACGTTTAGAGAAATAATGAGCACACATCCGAAACAGAATCAGTACCGATTACCGATCAGTCATCAGTAGATCAGTCATTACCACTGTATTTTATTAATTTTCTTGTTCTTATTATCTCATAGAGAATGTGTAATGATACTTTATTGAAAATTGAATACATCAAAAATATCAGTATCCATAGATGGAATAGTGCAGTAACTCGTCAGTCCCATGTCGGTATAGATTTCAGACCGACCAGTCCGATTCGATCTTATCTACTCAGATAGTTTTTCGTGTGTATACGTGTACTATTCATTTATGCTCACAAACTCACATTCGAATAGAAATAAAAAATACGAGCTAAAAGCCGAACTGAATAGAGTCTCATAAAATTGATTTGATTAAAATTCCAACAGAAAAAACTATACACGTAGTAATACATATGCACTAATTTCTTTGAAAATTAATAATCGCGATAGCAATCGTCACATTGTTTTGATCTTTTCCATCGATGTGTTGTCTTTAGATTAGGTATTCAAGTAGATATCTTTGTTTCTTTCTTTCAGCTACTTCGCCGACAACAACAACAACAACAACAACCCTACCACCGCCACCACCACAACGCAATTGTTCGATAAATGATTCTGTCTACTCATCGGATAAACAAATTATTCAATCTTTTCCTTTTCATGTCTCTATTAATCCATCTCAACCTCAGCCGTCACCTTCTAGTGCTAGTTACGCTCTAGTCGATATGTACGGCCGTGTGATCAAACTGAGTCTAGTTAATATTTTCTATATTCCACCTGCTCTCTTCTGTCTACAAAATTTGCAAGTACTCTCACTCGTAGATTCTACTGATCTATCAATTCCACCTGAGATCGTCCGCCTTGCTCCCACTCTCAAATCTTTTACTGCATCCAACATTTCGAAATCTCTCTTTCTTCCGCGTACATTATTCGGTGTGACTCTTCTATCGACACTTTCTATTGTCAACTGTGGTCTGGAAGCAATTCCAGAAGATATCGTCTACCTTAATAAACTCACGCAACTGACCCTTGACCAAAATCAACTTGTTACTCTTCCTGCTACTTTGGGCCAAATATCATCTCTCACCTCTTTGTCTGTCAACAATAATCTTCGGCTTTTCTCGCTCGACTTTCTCAATGGATTAAAGTCGCTTACAACACTGCGAGCATCGAATTGCGCGATTGACCATCTCCCAAATAACATTTCTAATCTGCGTACAATTGAAATGAATGAAAATCAACTGACCTCTCTTGATGATATCGAAACAATTGCATCAGTTTCTGGTGATTTCTTCTCATTTAGAAACAACAAGATCACATCTATTTCAACCGATTCTTTCGCCAGTATTGGAAGTCTTCAATACTTGGATTTATCTGGTAATCTACTCACAACGCTGCCTGATTCACTTTACCGAATCAAAAATTTACAAACGCTCGACATTCACAATAATAATTTTAATGAAAAAGAAAGTGAATGGATTCAAGGACTATTTCGACTTACGAACACCACCATTATTATGTGATTTCATGAACTTTTTATAAGACAATAATAATTACTGATCAATAATTGAATCGAAATATTTAAATAATGAAATTGAAAATTGTCAATCGATAATAAAATGATTTGTAAGGAAAATAAAAAATGAAAGAAGATTTCGTTTTCATAAATTCTTCTGATCTTTCGCGATGTTACTGTGAGAAACAGAACGAAAAACTCATTCTCGGATTCGATCATCTTAGATTCTAAGTTAAGCACCAGTTCTATAGGTTAGTTCTGTTACAAAGAAGAGTTCACGGTGTGGGTGTTGATTGGATAAGATAAAGAGACACCCACACCCACACCCTCCTTGCCATCGACTTTCTTCAAAATCAGAATGTTACTGCATGCGCAAGTGTCAAATTCGTGTGGTCACTCTTTGACCTCCTGCTCGAACATAGTTCAGAATTGAGCTATAACCTCGTCAATATCTTTTATTGTTGACCGTTTATTATTGGTCTCTAATGTTTGTTTGAGTGCGGATTGAGCCCAGCCGCGTGTCGTTCCAGTAACCGATTGAGCAAATTCATTCAGTGTCATTTGACTATCTTTAAAGCGGCTATATAGGAGTGATTTACGGCGAACAAAGTCAGCTTGAATCAACTGCAGTGAGCATTGAGCAAAGGGATCGTGATCGACACATTCTGAGTAGGATCGATTGTAGCATGGAATGGTGTAACCGAGTAGTGCCTGTGAAGGGAACAACACTTGAGTACATTTATAGAGCAAATTTCCAATAATGCCAAAGCCAGGTGATTCTGGATCGTCAGCGCATATAATCCTGATAATAAGAGTGCCACCCAATATGAATTCACGCGATCGATGTGCGAGAAATTGAGCATAGTCCAACTGAGCTTGACGCTTGAATACAATAAGATCATCGTCTTGTGCGAACGTACAATAACACTGATCCGACAAATTACAAGGTTTGCAAGAGAGTCAATGGATTGGTGCTGATGAATAGCCTATCGAAAGTGAGTTTGAAGGAAGACATTGATCATAAAACGAACGACTACTGGGTCCACTGTAATATAAGTTATCAAGAGTTTGGAAAAGAGTTGTCCAATCATTAGTAGGTAAGTCATTGTGTACAACCAAAATTTGTTGCCTATCATCGACCTTTTTGGCCTCTCGAAGATATCGGATGATCAATTTCATCGTATGCATCGAGCTGAGTCCGTGCGATGCACCAAAATCAGTTATCAGCAGGAATGGAGAAAAAGTAGAAACATTGAGTACACTGATGGCCTGTCGAATATAGGGTACGGGAGCATCGATAGCAGCTCATTGTGGTAGAGAATTGACATTGTAATTGCTAGCCATGTCTAAAGTGACGCCCGATTTCGAAGACGACGCCATTATATTATTATTCACAACAAATGTGTGAAGAGCATATTATTTGCATCGAAAAAGAACAAAGATAAGATAGAAGCGAGAAACAGTGTTTTTGTCAAAAAGGATGATTCGCCAAGAATAAGCACATACATATGAGCTGCCCAGGTCCGATAAGATCCTTAAGCAAGGTCGAAACCGGTCATGGCTGCTTATTCTCACTGCACAATACTACAATATATACACGATTTTTGCTGTGTGTAGGTTTATCGTAATGAGAATGCATCGTGTTAAAAAGATGCTCTTGTATCAGACCGTGATCGTATCTCATAAAACCGTGGTGCGGAATTATGGGAAAGTATAGTATAGAAAAAGCGAGATTCGGATTCTAATTACTGCAGTTTGACTAACTCCGACGTTCAGCATCATCCACAGATCGCGGTTGATGAGAATAATCTTCATTGTATAAAAAACTGAGAAAAGTCGCGATTTTAAATCCTGTGAGGTTGTGGGTGTGTGTTCTATGCATAACCCCATTCACACCCACATTTTCTTGCTGTTTTTTTTTCTTTTTCTTTCGTAATTGCATGTGTATCGACTTTTTCTTTCTGTTTATAATGAAGAAATACATACATATATTTGAGTTGTCAACATCAATCATTTATTATAGTGTCGTTGAATAAAACTACGATTGTTGCGTTAACAAGGATAAAAAATGTCGAAGAAACGTGTTCTTATTATTGGAGCTGGCTGTGCTGGTATGTCCTATGCCAATCAACTTGCTCAACATACAAAGAAATTTGATGTAACTCTAATTGATTCAATTGATCGATGTGTTGAACAAGCATTCTCAATTCCTGTTGATAAAGAAAAGTACGGTGCTACATAGCTCAGCCAAGGTATTCAAGGCAGTTCACCTATCTTTCATCGTGCATTTCGAATGTTCGAACGTCAAGCTTATTAAGTTTCCATTGTAAAATAACAAGTATCATCTGGTAAAGATGAATGTTTCTGGAAAAATATATTTCCTACAAAACTTGCTGAAAAACATCGTTCTGATATAAAAAAAATTACATTTTTATTAAAAATTGCTCGAGCACTTGAATTTTTATTTTTATTCATTCCAATTAAAGTTTTGATGAACCTTATCTCTTTTTCTAATGATTTCACAAATTCTATGATTTTCCAAGTGTGGTACTCTTTCTTGGTGTAGACAATGCTACACCTGATGTTTCATCAGTTGTCCTCGAACGTCTGTTTACTTCATCTACCTATGGTATGTGATATAAAGTCGATGACGAAAGTTTAGTATTAAATTTATTCTCCATAGTCATTTTTCCCAATTTAACAGACTTTTATTCTAACTGGAAAAAAGATCTTGAACATCATGGTGTTCACGTTCGTCTCTCGACTGAATTAACTGAAGTTATTAAACGAGATAAACAAGATGCTCAAGTTAAGCTTAAGTCTCGCAAGGCCCATTACACTCCTGTAGAAACTGCAACTTCAAGTAAGTTGCTACGATGAAAAACAACTTTTTCCCTTTTGATCATTAGAAACGAAACATGCAATATTTACTATTTACAAATGACAGAGCTCTATTTTTTCAGGTACTGGTGAACATACATTAGAAACAGTAGAAGAATTTGAAGAATTAGTTCTATGTGTACTTCCTGATCAAGCTAAAATACTTCTTGGCAAAACAGCTCGATGGATCGATAAATTTTTGTTATGTTAAGCTAAATTTGTTGATGATGTTACAGTAACACATTTCGATACAGAATACATAGAAAAATATTATACAAATCACTATGATTCTAATCAAGCTGTTGAAAATTTACATGGACGAGATGAACGAGAACGTTGTAATTTTGGAAAAAAGTCAATTTAAAGTCATGTATTATATAAAAGAATATAAATTTGATCCTCGTAAACTTGAAATGTCTTTTGATTGTACAAATTATCAAGTGCAATTTCCTCAATCTCATCCATTTTCGAATCATATCTTTCAAACAATCTTTCTCAATAAAAATCATTCAAAAATTTGAACAAAAGATGATATAAACGAAGATAAAATAATTCGCGAAGATTGATGACATCAGCTATGTCATTCATGGACTCATTATTTATTTGTTGTTCCATGGATTTGGTTACTGAATGGTGTGTGCTCAACAACTTTTACTGGATCATGGATTTCAGTTAATGCACATGAAGTTGCTGCTGTTAGTGGAATAGCAGCAGCTTATTGACTTAGGGCTGATTATCTAGATGATTCAGAAAACGATGATTTTGTTCGTCTATGTTTTCAATTATTTCTTTTACTCTCTCATGGAAAGTTCTATCATAAGCAAAAAATAAATCAAAGATCATAACAAATAATTATTCAATTTATTATCAAAAACTTCATTATTACGTAGTTTCATTCTAGTACTCATGTTGTCTATCGAATATTTTCATACTCCTAGTTCCTTAATAAATATATATATATATATCCATAGCACATACTAGATGTAAATAATTATTTATATTTATTGTTGTTATGTTATGTTTCATTATTAAGTCATTGATTGAAACACAAATACACGAGATATTATATATAGGAAACATAGGCTGCGCACCACCAAGCAACGACTTAGCAATTACTTCCCCTAATTGTTTATGTTTCATCCGTATATGTTATTTCTCCATGTTTTCTGAATTTTTGATTATCAAGTTGCTTAAATTTGTACTTCTTTCTGCTTTCGCCCATGATCATTGTAAAAGAATGTATTCATAAAGGAGATCGACTAGCTGCTAACATAAATAGTTAAATAAACAGTTTTAATGATACAATTGTAATATTTTCAATTGATTCTTACATTTATAATTCCATCAAGAAGAAATAGTTGATAAATGGCAGACAATCTTTCACATGAGTATCAACTCGAAAACCCAATGATTGGTGAGCGGAAGGAAATAACAAAAAAAAACTTGAGTTTTGCTCCCTCGTTCTGAATACATCTGTCCTCAATAAAAAAAAAACATTATACTATCCTCAAACTCTAAATATGCTGTCAAATAAATTAATATGCAGGCTTCGTGTGTGGGTGTAGTATGAGCGTGTGAATGTGCGGGAAAGTGTAGTTGTGACATGATACCCACAATGACACCTTTTTATTTTATATTTTTAATGTTAACTATTTATGATACTTTTTTAAAGACTATTCCCGCGCAACAAATCCCAATACAACAAGGAATGCAAGATGAAATAAATGTTATAATGTAATTCGAAATGAGAATCCAAAATGCAAAACTGTACAATGTTGGATGACAGTAATTGGCTGAACTTGAATCATTAAGATTAACAATAGATTTCACTTGAAATATCCACACGTTACCCTTTGATTCAGAATGAGAAGAAAAAATGAAGCAAAAATAGACTATGTTCACTTACCAAAATGAACCAGACTGAAAGAAAAAGAGCCAATATAAAACTAACAACAGCTATCAGTCCAATTATACAAATTACAGCGGATGTAGCACTAACAGACTGGTTTTTAAATGAGCACAGAACTAATAGAGCCTTCATACATATATCAATTGTAAAAATTGTCACATTTGATATAGTCAATAAATCTTACCATAATTAGTGTAATAGAAATAGTGGCAATGCCGCAAGCACCTGAAACAATCAAATAGATTGGGATTCTACTGTCAATAGGACATTGATTTCGAAAGATTAAGCCAAAAACTAATTCAAGTATAGGAATAACCAATAGAATGCAGAGGAATATGAGACAAAATCCTGAACCAAGTACTTTGGTGACACAGGATGGCAGAAATTTAATCGTCGTCGGATTGTCGTTAGTCGAATCAGCAAAGCTCATCTTCAGCACCGTCACAGAAAATATATTAAGAGGAAGATTTTTTTCATAATGGACGAAGATTGTTGAGTTTCTGGTAGTGAATCAATTACGAGAGTGATTATTTACGAAAAAATGCTTCATCGGTGGAGGCATATAAAAGACGAATAATGTTTTTTGCATCGTCAAGGCAGTGTGACAATGGTCTCCACCAAAACATTTTCATTCTCTTCTGTTCGTTTTTTTTCTTCATTTCATTCTTTTCAAATGCTCAAAACGTTGCTTATTCAACAAGGTGAGGGTGTGGATGTGTGGAAAAGTGTAGTTGTGAAATGAATATCCACACCGTTCATAGTAACAGTATTAGTATTTTTTCAATTTTGTTCACTGCATTCTCTAATTTATCATCGTTGATTAAGTATTGGAAAAGCTATTTGAGTAAGAAAACCAGGATTGTGGATCAAATCCAATCAACTCGAACCAATTCAAGCAGTTGATTGCTTATCACTACTCAGACGTGTAAAATCGTTTCTCTTTTTTTCATGTTCAATACGATTTTTTCACTATATTCGAATGTTTATGCAAGAAAGAATCGAAATGGAATCTGATGAGAGAGAAAAAACTTCTTGTCGTTACGTAGATCAAACATCGACAATATTAAAATAGAGAAGCATTTCTATTTCGTCATCGCTTATTCTTGTACAGAAAAAAAAGGTATTTCTCCAATATTTTTAATGTTTGCGATGGTTCATAGGATATTTATTCATTTCTTACAAACTGGTTTGATCTTCATATAATTTTGTGGCTCGATTCGAACATATCGTTTTTTTTTTACATAAGATGAGGACTATGAGAAGTGAAAAAAATGTGTAGCATTTCTATGGATTTTTCTCATTAATAAAACTTTGTAATCGATGAAACCTATGGAATAATACATTATCAATTTTCCATAAGGGTCCATTTTCATTTGAATCTTTTTTGTAGTTCAATAATCCAAGTAAAGATCATGGAGGAGGATATGGAGCAGAGTTTCCATAGCAACTTCAACGTTTTAACAAACGACATCGATTCTGCCGATAGCGACCAACACAATCCCAATATATGATCGATTCACAGTTCAATTACACAAATTCGTTCTAAATAAATATATGCTAGTCAACTTTTTCTTTTGATAAAGAAAGCAAATCGTGAAATTCTCAGATCCATCAATAGGCATTTATTTTTATTTCGAATACAAATAAAACTTTCTATAAAACAAAAGATTCGAGAGATATCTTACATTTTGAAAAACAATATGTATTAAGCAATCGAATACTTTCGGATATTTTAGAAACGAACAATGAATTGAAATTATATAAGATAGACAAGTTCAAAATCTCTTGAAGGCAAATGTTGAATCAATATCGAAATCAATTACAACAATATTCTTTTGAGTAAAATGTGCCCACATTGTTCCAGAAATTTTAGTTACTGACCGTTCTTTTTTGCTCTACAAGAAAACGACAAATGAATATCTAGAACAGTAAGTCTAAAAACGAAAACGACGTTTTGACGTCGTTTATGAATATAACTCCGTTATATTTTCATTTTAGAACAAGACAGCAACGATGACTAAAATCTAGACATGTAACAGATGTGGATATAGTATTCATTTGATATCCATACCTACACATTCTCAAGCATAGTTATATTAACGAAATGATTTCACTCGTCATTTTTTGTTGCATTGTACAATTATACGTTGAATCAACTACCTATCATGTAGCAAGTGTTATATGTATGTTCAATTTATCTTGGATAATAGCAGATTTTCGAATGAAAATTGTGTTTTGTTTTCTTCCTACATCATGATCGGTATCACATTACATGTTAAAAGATAATCTTTTTAATTCTCTTTTTGTTATCGATCGTAGTTATCTTCAAAAGGTCTTCGTCTTTCTCTGTCATAAATAAATGCAATAAATATCAATCATAAAGTGGGAAAAATCCAAACATACCGATGTTGGAAGTAAAAAACAAAGAAAAAAAAACAAGCACCGTATATAAG